ATCTTGTTTTGTCTATATCTTCTAAGTTTTGGTTTTACACATCATTAAAATTATCAACACAGTATTTTATACTATCATTTTGCTTTCATGACGCCTAAAAAATAATCAAATGATTTTGAAAAGTGTGATGCATAACCCGAAATGGAATTTGGTTTGGCTTGAATTTTTACATAACCCATAAAGCCTCGGGCGGTTGGGCCCCGGCGGGTTGCACTTTAAAATTTTTAAAAGAGTTTTGGGCATTGATAAAGTCGGATTTCACCTATTCTATTAGACATTTTGAGGCAACCAGAAGCATTATCTCTTTTATTACAAAAAGTAGACTAGAGACCCTTCCACCTTGAAAGATTACCGGCGCATTAGCCTAATTGGTTGTTTTACTAAGGTAATCTCAAAACATTTGTCCAAAATACTAAAAAAAAAACTAATCTCTTGGGTCGTTGATGTTGAGCAATCCGCTTATGTGGAAGGAGGAAAAAAATCATTTGTTAATACATGTTGAACAAATCATGTTGGATTGTGTTGACCTACAAATGCATATTTGTTCACAATTTCTTTAAAATTCATGTATAATTAGCGATCAATCAAATCAAATGTAATTACAAAAATCTTTTAATTATTGGTGATGAAAAAACAAAGTGAGGTGTTTGACAATAATATGATAAGACAATGCGGTGGGTGTTTAGAATAAAGAAAGCAAATGCCTGCGAGTCGTGGGTGTGTTGACTTCACGTAGTTTGTATAATTCTCATCTTTCTGTTCATATTTAAGGCAAGTGCTGCTTTTTTATTATTTTGATTGCCATATAACTTAGATGGTGGTTTTAAATTTAATCGACTCATCACAATAAAGTTTAATATATGTATTATATATTCTTATGTTTATTTTCAACACTTCTTGACTTACTTTTTCCAAAATATTGCATTTTACGACATCTTCAAAACTTGAGGTTTGACAACTAATAAGGCTATTCTTTATACATATCATACCCTCAAAGGGTAGTTGCGTGCTGATGTAGCTTTGGGCACTGTCGGGAACACAATGTTGGCCCGTGGTGGGCCCCACGAGACACTCCCCGCCATCGAGTCTTGGACTCATCCCATTCTCTCCTATCTCACTTCATTCTCATTTTTTTTTTCTTGTACAATGTGATTTAATAGCTTGTACATTGGTTTTGATAAGTGAAAGAAGTGAATAACATCGATTAAATTAAATGAAAGATGAATGTAGAAGTGACATAGCTTTGAGGTGGTAGATAACTTTTTTAACAGCTTCATAATATTAAAGCTAGCCAGTAATAAGCAAAAAAAAAAAAAATTACACATAAATATTCATGATGAGGTTTTGTAACTGGCCGTTCCAAATAACATTATTTTTCTTATTTCTATTTCGAAACCATTCAAAGGAATGAAGCATTATTCTATCGACAACATAATTCTTGGGTAACTTTCGCGAGTCAAACACGAGAGTATTCTCATACGTCCAGAACAACCATATAACGGTCATGATTATAGTCTCCAAAATATTCCTTTTCTATCCCGCCATCACCACATTATCCAACCAATTAAACAAATCTTGGACCGTCTCAACAAACGGAAAGGGTAATTAAACAGCCTGAAAAAAATAACCAAACGTGATTAACAACTTCACATTTCATGCACAAATGATCGAAATCTTCCATTATTTTGTCCCAAACCTAGCATATCGTCGAAGCGGTCGATTCCTCTAGCCTCCAAGTTTGTTTTCGTGTGACTTCTATTAAGCACAACTTGCAACAATAAATCATTTATTTATATCACAACACTTTTTTTGTTCTAGCGAGTTGTAAAAATCTCATTTCCCAATATAAGCCGTCGTACAAGTAACCATATAATCATTTGTGGGACTCAACTCCCATATCCAACTATATAAGTTCGAACTAGGAACAAAAGGCAGCCACCATTTCATCCAAAGCCCTGAGTTGAATCAATTTCCCCTTCCCCTAACTAGTCTTCTAACTAGTCTTTTCAGTTCCATTCCCAAGTTCTTTTTGCCAACGATCACTTATGAAACAATCTTTTTACAATTCCAGCTCATATATATAACCTTTTGTACGAACATCATTTCCCCATCCACGGTTCAAGCCAAAAATGAATAGAGATCTCATTTCCATTTCTCCTTCACAATGTGTTGGTACGAGTAATCTCTTTTTCATTAAGACGATGCATAGTTGCCACAATCGCCACCTGCACTCTTCCTATTCTCGATTTCTTTTCCTCTAATCCCAAACACCCACACGACCCATGAATGTTTTTTATGACTTTTTCCCATAAAGAATTAGCCTCCATATGAAATCTCCATCTCCATTTATATAAAAGAGAATTATTAAAAGCCGAAGGGCCCCCCGCACCCAATCCATCATTCTCTTTCGTTATCAATTTGATCCATTTGAGACATGCTTATTCCTTTTACCCCAACCTTAGCTCTACAAAATAACCTTTGGACTAGAGTATCTTCCATGACAACATGAAAACGTTCCATAGCCCGTATAAACAAACACGGAGAAAGAGGGTCACCTTGTCTAAGGCCTCCGTGTAGTTGAAACTCATTGGTAGGGCTTACATTAACAATGATTAAGGAAAATGACGATGTAAGGCATCCACCAATCCAATCAATCCATCTACCTCTAAACCTCATAAATCTCATAAGCGTGAATAAGTATTCCCAACTTATCGAGACATACGTCTTTTCAAAATCGACTTTAAACACCATTACCTTAGTCTTCTTTTTCTTGTATCATTCTATGATTTCACTAACCATGAGAGGTCGTCTTAGATTTGTCAACCTTTAACAAATGTCGACTGCTACAAACTCACAAGATCATCAATAACTCGAGCTAACCGGTTAGCTACGAGTTTTGCAACAATCGTGTATTGCATTCCTATGAAGCTAATCGGCCTATAATCTTTCACAAAATGGGATTACCTTTTTCGGGATTAAATTAATAAATGAAGAGTTACATCCTACAGGAATATGTTTATATTTGTAAAAAATCATTTACAAAAGCACAAACACTATATTTTTATGACATTCCGTATGAAACCTAAACTCATCCGGTCCTGGTGTCCAATCACTACCACACGTGAGGTGGCACATAATTAGTGTATATAAAATGTTTTGTAATCAGAAGAAAGAGAACGAAAATTTTGGACCAAAGCCAAATTTACTATACATGTAAACAGAGTTGAAAACTTAGCAAAACAAAAGTATCATATTTTTTGTAACAATCTAAAATAAAACATAATATATTAAAGTACTGTAAAAACAATATACAGTATGATATTAGAGTTGATATGTATTGTAAAGTCGTATATGACTAACAGCAATATAACTAAAATATATTGTTTTAAAAGTCTTTGACTAATAATAAAATAACTAAAACATATCGTTTATAAAAGTATTTGATTGATAATGAAATAATAGAGGTACCGTTGAATTGATTTTTAAATTATCTGATAAATAAAATACTGTTTGTTTTGGTTGACTAAATCATTTTTATTAGTTTTTATTTTATTTTTCTCGGATAAAATAACATAATGATTAAAATACGTATACGCATAGTTCGGTGCCTATATATACTACCAAAGCAACGTCTTCACTCTCGATCTCTATCTCTTTCACTCGGCGACTTCACGAAGCGATTAATTCATTCCTTGAATCTCTAATAGATTTTCGATCTAAAAGACAACACTCAAATCTCCGGTTTTCGGTACGTATTTCTATTTGATTCCAATTCATAGCAATTCAAATTAATCGGCATGTTATATCAGAGATTGAAAATGAAGTATATCTTTCACTGCTGCATATCTATCTATGTTTGATTCTCATATTTTGGATATCACTTCGTTAATTCAGTTTATATACTGCTTGAAAGATTGTTTTCTATCATATATACATATGGCAGTGAATTTATGACTGAATAACAATCAACGACTCACTCGCTTTCGTTAACTTATTTACTTATAATTACTATTGATAGATTTTCATCTATGCATGTATGTATTTTTGTCTCCTCAATTCTTTGGAATTTCTGTAATCATAATAACTTAGTTGCAATATCCTTTACTAGAAATTCTAAACCTAAGCTATCTTTATCTATATTTCAGACACCGATAACTTTATAATCATGGCGGGGTATCTCCAAGAAACCGTGTCTCATGCGAAGTGGAAATCCTCATCTAAAACCGTTGATGAATCTAACAATGTACCTTCAGATAATTTCGATTGTAATATCTGTCTAGATACAGTCCAAGATCCGGTGGTCACACTTTGTGGACATCTCTATTGTTGGCCATGTATTTACAAATGGATTGATCTTTCACACAAAGTAAATCCACTATGCCCCGTATGTAAAACCGAAATATCAGAAAAAACCCTAATTCCATTATATGTTCCTACCTCGACCGCAAAACCGAATTCTCAAGAAAAAATTGTCTCGATCCCACGTAGGCCATGTGTTGTCCACACCATGCCATCTCAACAACATACTTTACCTGACATTCGACAAGAAGTACCCAATGTAATCTTACCGACAATCCCGATATCTGGGATGTTAGGTGAAATGGTGTACATGGGGATTTTTGGGAATTCTGAAGATTTGTTGTTCGGTAATGGAGATACGTATAGTTCTGCGGGGATGAGTACACAACGGGCGAGAAGGAAAGCGGTTCGAGATGAGAGGTCGCTTGGTCGGATTTGCTTTTTCTTGTTATGTTGTGTAATGTTGTGTCTCGTATTATTTTGAATATCCGATGCCATGATATATTGTATCTAAAAATATGAAATTTTGTTATATGTCCATTGATGGAATACACCATATATAGGATTCAAACTTATAAGCCATTTGCATATTTGTGACCATCTTTCCTTGTTGCTGGTACCCAAAATTTGAGACAAAAGCATGCTTTATTCTAATGAACTTTTTCAAAAACAAAAAAATCTTGAATAACACTTCTTATATGTAAAAAGGTTAATAAAAATTAAGTTAGGTATCCTAAAAAAATATGTTATAGCAGGTCATACGTACCAAATTCGACGAAAAAAACAAGTTAAGAATAATGTGTAATGATTATTTGAGATGGTGTTGTTATGTCCGTTGTTTAAAAAACCTTTTCTTTTATCTATATCACTACAAGAATATAAGCCTTTAGCGGCGACACTATTACCGACGACATGGAATTTTAGCGGCGACAAATGCTAGAGTCGCCGCTAAAAGTCCATGTCGCCGGTAATAGTGTCGCCGCTAAAGGCTTATCACCCGAATCCGCGTTTTCCCCCTCTGTTAGATCTCAGTTGTTCGATCAAGTATCTAATCTAACGGTTGGGGTCCCTTATCCGCACAAACCTAATACCGGCGACATTTGTGTCGCCGCTAAAAGTCTAAAACGTCGCCGCTAATAGTTACCTAAAAAATGACGCGGTACCCTTCCCTCCAGATTGTCGCCGCTATTGACTTGAGTCGCCGGTAAAGCGCTAGTTGTCGCCGCTAAAGGCTCTCGCAGATTAAAAAAAAAAAAAAAAAAAAAAAAAAAAACGCACGCAGATTGTTCATTTCTTCCCATTTTCATTCTGTTTGCTGCTGCGCCTCTTCCAAGTTCCCCCGATTTTGTGTTCAATTAGTTGATTCCAACAACATATCTCCCCACATTGTGTGAGATTAGGGATCAATGGTGGTTAGGGCTTCTTGGGACCGATTTCTAGCTCCATCTACTGAAGAAAGGTAAGTTGAATTTCTTGTATCTCTTTGTATTTGTATGTTAATTTCGATTTCTAGCTGCATTTGATAATTAAATTGCAAGAAATTGTTCAATTTCAGTGTTTTTGGTGGTGTTGTCTTTGGGTTTACGGGTGAGGGTATTTTCGGGTGAAGACCAATTTTTCCGGCTACATATCTGTTGATTTACGCCACTACAGGTTCTATTATTTCATTTTTTTGTGAATTTAGTATTTGTATGTGAAAATTATGTGAAAATTGCCATATGTGAAAATTGTGTGTATATTTGATATTTGTATGAATATATGTGAATTTGGTGTATATATGCCAATGTATGTATGTTTGTTGTAAATGTGATATATGAATGTGAAATTTATGTATTTGGTATAAATAGGATGTTATTATCTATATATGTGAAATTATGTGTATTTGATTTAAGTAGGATGT